TCCAACCCACAACCATAACTCGAATATGTGAGGGGCCCACCCACCAGTCTTACACACACACACACACACACACACACATACACTAGTCGGCTTCCACAACTCTAGAGACCCTCAATGTTGCAGGCCTGAGTGAAGCTAGAGAGCGCTGAGGCCCAAAACACATTGGAGCAATCAAACAAAAAGAAGAGAGGACCTGAATTGTAGCTCCACTTTCTCCAACTCACAACCATGTCCTTGGGAACTGGAGGCGAACCGCGTCCCCTCTACCGGTCCTGGTCCTGGTCCTTTCTCAAACTCCCAACGAGCGATGTCCGGGCAAAAGCACGAATATCACCTCCCTGAGACTTCACCTCCAGGCCGGAAGAATGAAGCGGTAGTCTCCACAGTTAGCTGACTCAGCTCAACCATGCTCCGAGTGCTACCTTCACTTAGCCCGTGAAAGCTAACTGTCCGCTAACTGCTGAAAGTCCTATTGCAGTTCGAATGTCAGGACAAACTTTGAGCAAAAGTGTCCACAGGTCATCCAGTCATCCAGGAACCATGTCACCAGCGCACATTACCGGCCATTACTTCAACGACCGGTGACTTGGTTGATTAGCATGCCTCGGACATGTGCGTTCTTTTCTCCCGTCATCCTCGCCCAACCCACTCTTTTCCCCCATCCCCCCTTAGCACTTCCTAGTTCACAATAAACCCCACATACAATACATAAAATATACGTATACATACATGACATACAATATTATAATACTTCTGATATGTAACTTTAGTTTTTAACCCCGCTTGAGCTGCTTCACAAACGATGCTTCAGGCACTAACATGTTGGTCTGGGTTACATTAGAATACGTGAGGGGGCAAACTTTTCAAGACGGGTGGTGACCATGGTGGCCATTTTGAAATCAGCCATCTTGGATCCAACTTCCATCCATTTCCTTCAGCTTATCCGGAGTGGGGTTGCGTGGGCAGTAGCCCAAGTCGAGAGGCCCAGACTTCCCTCTCCCCAGCCACTTGGGCCAGCTCCTCCGGGGGAATCCCAAGGTGTTCCCTGGCCAGGTGAGAGACATAGTCCCTCCACCGTGTCCTGGGTCCAACTTTTGTTTTTTTCAATAGGAAGAGGGTCATGTGACACGTCAAACTTATTTGGAATTTCACAAGTAAAACAATGATGTGCTTGGTTTTAGCGTAATTTTATTCTTTGGTGAGTTATTCACAAGTTTCTGACCCCTTATAAAATGTGTTCAATGTGTTGGATTGTCAGTGCAACCCTCTTCTCCCACTCTTCACACACTGATAGCAACACCGCAGGAGAAATGGCAGCACAGACTTCCAGTATCCAGGTCACCATCTTTGTACCCGTATACCACACCACACCATCACTCTTTTGTTCCAACAGTCTTGGAGGGATCTATCCAGTGTGGGTTAGTGTCAGACCAATAGTGCTGGTTTTGTTTGTTAACTTCACGATTCTCACACAAGTTTGCCTCATCACTGAACAAAATGATCTGTGTGAACTGATGGTCCCGTTCCAATATTTGTTTTGTCCAGTCTACAAATTCTGTGTGCCGGTCCGGGTCACCCCGTTGAGATGCTGCAGTAGCTGGAGTTTGTGATGGCGCTTACACATTAGCATCAGCAGGGCAAGAGCTCCGATGTGGAGAACAGGCGCGCGCGCACGCACACACACACAAAGACAAGTAGTGTTTCTATGGTTACATTGTGATGTCTTAGTAAATATTGTATTAGGTGAGAGATAAACTTTATTGTATTTATCCTAGTGGATCTATAATTAAACGGGTAAACTAGTAGTAGCACATCCAACGTCAAAGAGAGTAAAGTGTTATTATCAGGAGAGGGAGAATGTATTAGTGGTTAGCAGCAGTGTGCTAGACGATGGCCCCCTCCATGAGGCCACCACAGCTCAGCAGAACATCGTTGTAGCTTCTTCTGGGGAGAAAAACACTTAGAGAGAAAATAAAGTTAACAGCTGAAATAGCAGGAAATAATACAGTTAAAGAGCAGACTGTAGAAGAAAGTAGTAGAGTGTGGAAAGTGGTCAGTGTGTCCTCCAGCAGTCTAAGCCTATAGCAGCATAACTACAGAGATAACTCTGGATAATCTATCCTATTTAGATGGAGGCATGTTGGAGGCAGGGCAAGGGAGAGCCGTCTTTACCGACTGTACACTCCACCTCCCTCTACTCCCCCACTTGTCCAGATCTAGGCTAACATCAGATTTTAACTACAGGCCCTATTTTTAACCCAAAAGTTCTGATGGCAAACACTGAGGAGAACCGGGTGGATGGATTTTATTCACATGTTGAGTGTTTAGAGGCAGTAGAGACTCGCATAGCAGCACAAAAAGGATGCAGTAAGAGAGTTTTACATTTCATGTCCCTTTCCAAGCCGTAACAAACGTCTCCGTAGATGATCATGAGACTTGTGTGAGCCAGATGAGGCCTGTTGGAGCTCTCTAGCTCAGGTAAACCCAACAGTTTAAACGGGTCTCAGACAGCGTGACTTTACAGGACTGTGTTTACATCACACAGTTTATGCTTTTAAAGACTTTTCAAGGAGTATTAAAGTGACAGACGATGATGATGTCACTAACGTTACAGTAAAAGAAGAACCAGACGGGGACTGCACAGGTTGAACTCAAGTCATTGCCAGGTCAGACTTGGACTGTCCTGCTACTGAACTCTGAAGCACCTGCAGCACACGTCACCAGTCACCTGTTAGAAGTCCATAAGCATCTCCCCACGCGATGATCCGTCATGTAGCATTAGCAGCCCGGACTTTACGTAACCATCATTCTGGAAACTTGTGGGGAAAAGTATGAAGAAGCTGTTTCTGGAACAGTCTCTGATCATATCTTCTGTGTAGAAGTTTCTGCTGAAGCTTTTGTGAAGACCTTTGGAACAGCAGCTAATAAACAGGAAGAAGCTGTTCTCATTCAGGAAATCAGGCCATGAGCTGCACGACCGTCACGTATAAGGACAGTTCTGCTGACTGGCTTCAGTGATTCTTGTGCAGGGATGAAAATGAACTATGGATTAAAAACTGTTCCGATAATCCAAGTAGATGAAGAAGAGGCCCGCAGTAGCAAGTCACACTGCCGAGTAGAAACACGCCATGCACGTGTAGAATAAACACGTCTGCAGCAGCAGTAATGCTGAACAGATGGGAGGTGAGATGAAAACCTCGACGAAGGCCACCATAAACACATCTGCAGGAGCGTGAGTAGTCAGGACTCCCCCTCTTTTAAAATGTTGCAGGAAAGAAGGGATAAGGGAGGACGTCTGCTCTAGGACTGGAGGCTGTTCTTTCTGGCAGGCGGGAGTTTGTTTGCGTGCTGCATATTTTCCTCACACAGAGCGTTTGTGTGTTTCCATGCAGCTAATTCCCAAACAGGCTCAGATATTTTCTCTGTTTATTCTTCCTCGTGGTCATTTAGAGTCGACGCACCGCTGAAGCATGGGCCGAAGGAAATTACACTAATGAAATCACAAATTTAGCTGATCTTTCCCACAAAAATGTGAAAGCAAACGAGGACGCGTGAGGTTCCTGACTTCATGGAGCTTAATTTGATGGGAATTGATCCATTTCCTGGACAGTGAGAGGAGTGATGTGGTGGGTTGTTTTGATTGGACGATGTTCTTCACCTTCCTCAGGAACTTCCTCACTCCATTTATCTTTTCCTCCATCTCACTCTTTCTCTCTCCTGTCTTCTTTCAGGGACATTAAGCCCGACAACATTCTGCTGGATATGAACGGCCACATCCGCCTGGCTGACTTTGGCTCCTGCCTCAAACTCATGGAGGATGGGACTGTAAGTTTCACCACACTGCTGCTGTTGCTCTCTCTGGTCCAAAGCAAACACCACCAGAGTTTAGCTAACCTCTTAGTCTACCCCTGGGGGTCTCCCAGGAGGAGTGTGTGGTTCAACGGCCTCGCGGTGCCAGCAGGTTATGATTCAAATGATGCTCCATGAAACCGAACGACAGAATAAAATATGGGTTCTCGAATGCCAACAGTCCCGTTTTGACGTTTCATCAAGTTGATTCCAGGAATGAACGTGTGAACTTCCCACAGCTGTGAGGGTTAGGGTTTAAATGCTTTTCCTCATGTCCATTCATCCCTTCATGTGTGTAATTTCTGGTAAAGCTGCTCAGTTATAGAAAAATACTTTAGGTCAGAATTTAAACCATGGTTGTGTTTCAGCTGAAAACTCACAGGTAATACAGCGAGGCCGGCTTTTACCGCTTAACCAGCTTCTCTGTCATCCACCGGGGAAACATTTGTCCCTAACCCAACAACAGCAGAAGAAATGAATACATCTATGGGAACAGGTGACGCACCGCCCGCACGGACACATCTGGCCATCTGGAGGTCTCCTGTCCTGCGTAGACCTCCAGACGGCACTTCCCCGCTTGTACGATCTGAGCTGGAACGGCGTAAGCCAGACGGGTCGGATCGGACTTGGGTTGATTGATAATTTGAGCGTGATGAGTCGCGCTAGGACAGCAGGGAGAGAGAAAGACTGGCGATGCGAGGAGATGAGGACACACCTGAAATAAAACACAGTGGAAGCGTTCTCATTCGTCCATGGTGGTAAAGAAACGCTAATGTAGGCTACGTTGTCTCTGGAGAGCCGGTTCTGGGCTGAAAGTCCTCGGCTCGTTTCAGTCTTTGGGTCTAGTTGGGATCTACTGTGCTGGCTGTCAGCCTGTAGAAGTCCCTGTTAAACTTTACTCTGTTTCATGAACCAGGGTGACTCGAATTCAGGTTCAGTTCAGCTTGAAAACTGGGAGGAAACTTTAGTCAACCGTTGATTTAGATGTTTTCTTCTTCTGCTTGTTTCTCGTCCTCAGAGACACGATGGACATAAGGACATGATAGAAGTCTAAACGTCCCCAAAGGACGGGTTAGTTAGCTGGTTAGTGAAGGTGAGGTAGCTATCATTAAACCCTAATCCAGCTCAGCCTGCTGCTGTTGTTATTATTA